TAGAACTCTGTGGTCTGAATGGGACCTTTGTCTTCCTAGAAAAGGACTTGAGACATTTTCTGCTGGACTGATTTTATTGTTGGTTTGGTTTGAAACAGAGTCTCACTGTGTAGCCCGGGAAAGCCTTGAACTTGTGATCCTGTCTCTGGCATTACAGGTATGCAACAGTATGGCTAGATTTTAACAGGCATCGATTAGGCCTGCATGGGGAAGCTCCCTTTGCTCCCTTTGGTTTTGGAAGAAGCCCAAAGACCTTTAGCCAGTCCTGGGAGGCCTCTGGTAATCTTTAACTGGACATTTCTCAGCTGCTTCTTTAAAAATGTCTCCAGCTTAACAATGATTATCTAAACCAGCACTGTCCAGTAGAAATAATAACCCAAGGCACAGATACAAGATTTCCTTGTGGTTCTATTCTTGAAAGGTAAAATTAAATTGGGTGGAATTCCATTTTTAAATATATTTTAATTAAGTAAATATATCCCAAATAATGTCACTTCAACGTATAAACAGTACTGTTAGGATTTAGTGGCATACTGCAGAGTATGTTGGCAGCTCCTGGCCAAGTTATCCTGCAAAGATCACACCAGGAAACAGATTTCTGCCTTCTGGCTTCATTTAAAAGTCCAGGGACAAAGTGCTGAGAAAAAAAAAAAAAGTCTCTTGCATGAGATCTGTTGCATAGTGTGATCTCTGCAGCATATCTTGTTCTGGACCTGCCATGTTACTCTGCCCTCTGCCCCTATATCCTAACAAGTATGAAATCATCATTTTATCACTATTTTACAGTTTTGCCAATTCAGTCTTCACAACCCAATATACCTTATACTTTCTCCTTTAAAATATGTCTCCCCAGGGCTGGGGATTTTGCTCCATTGGCCGATTGCTTGTTTAGCATGCATGAAACCATGTGTTCAACTCCCAGCACCTCATATACTGGCTGTGGTAATACAGGCCTATAATCCTAGCACTTGGGAGTCAGAGTCAGGAGGACCAAAAGTTCAAGGTCATCTTTGGCTAGGTAAGTGAGTTCTAGACCAGCCTGGACTACAATGACATCAATTTATAAAACAGGAAAGAAAGAAAGAAAGAAAGAAAGAAAGAAAGAAAGAAAGAAAGAAAGAAAGAAAGAAAGAAAGAAAGAAAGAAAGAAAGAAATGAAGGAGGGATGGAGGGAGGGAGGAAGGAAGGAAGGAAGGAAGGAAGGAAGGAAGGAAAGAACACCTCTGCCCAGAGATGAATCTTTGCCTTAGTTGTTCAGTTTTGCTGTTGCTGTTTTCCTTATATTTGTTTTTTATTTATGTGTATGCTCAGGTTCATTCAGGTGCTCACAGAAGCCAAGAGTGGATGTCAGATCCCCAGGAGCTGGAATTAGAGGCAATTGTGAAGAGTCTGACCTGGTTGTTGTTTTGAGACAGGGTTTCTCTGTGGTCTGGCTATCCTGGAACTCACTCTGTAGACCAGACTGGCTTTAAACTCACAGAGATCTGCCTGCCTCACCCTCCTGAGTGCTGGGATTAAAGGCATGCACCACCACTGCCTGGCATCCTTTGCCTTAGTTTTTGTTTGGTTGATTTATTTTTATCCCTCCTCTCCTTTATAAGAACATCTCCTATCCTATAGTAAGCTTAAAACAAAGTTTTGACATGCGTCAAGGCTGTCACTGCTCTAACCATCCATGTCACATTTATGCCCTTAATGATAGCCAGTTCTTCCCAGCTATCTGTGCGGGACATCTGCCGGATGGCTGGATTCCCTCACATTCAGTGATGGTCAGACAGCAGCTGAGCACACTGCTTCCGCTGGAGTACTGACCTCCCTGAAGCCCTCTCACACCCCTGCTCCCCTCCCTCCATGTTCCTAACACAGAGCCTATAGGAACGAAGCTTCTATGTGGAAAAGACTCAGGGAATGGTGGCTGCTGCTGGTGGGTGGCCAGGCTGCAGAAGCAGGCCCTACCACTTGCTAGCAATGTAATTTGGACAGTGACTTCAGAATCTTCATATTAAACATGAGGGCAGCAGCATGGAATGTCACAGAGTTGAGGTAGGCCCCATTTAGGTACATGAAGTCTACTAGTGGGACCCCCAAATTTAAATTTTTCTCCAAAAAGGGGGGGGGGCTAGGCATGGTGGTGTACATATTTTATTCCAACAGAGGCAGGTGGATGTCTGTGAGTTCCAGGTCAGCCCGGTGTACAGAGGAGTTCCAGGACAGCCATCCAAAACACCCACAAACAACGACAACAAACTGTTTTAAAAAAAATGTCAAGTGGAGTAGTCCTGTGGTTTGTATGCAGATTGCCCTCTTTGAAACACATGTTGAAATTTAACTCCCATTATGAGATACTGAGAAATGAGACCTGAACTCTTAAGGTGCTACCAAGCCTGCTAACCTGAATTCAATCTCTGAGACTCACATGATAGAATGAGAAAACCAACTTCTACAAGTTGTCCTCTGACCTCCTATTTGAGCCCATACACATAAATAAATTGTAATTTTTTTAAGAGGTGAGAGCTGGGAGCACACAGAGACAGGCAGGTCTGTGTGAGTTTGAGGCCACCCTGCTCTACATAAAGAGGTTCATTTCAGGCCAGCCAGGGTAAGATCTTGTCTAAAAAAAAAGAAAAGAAAAGAAAAGAAAAGAAAAAAAAGAAAGTGCAGCCAGATAGGACGCTGATGTTCTCTAAAATGGATTCATTAGCTGGGCATGGTGGCACATGCATTTAATACCAGAACTCGGCACGCAGAGGCAGGTGGATTTCTGAGTTTGAGGCCAGCCTGTCTACAGAGCGGGTTCCAGAACAGTGAGGTCTGGCTACACAGAGAAACCTTGTACACAACAAGAATGGATCCGTCTGCTCAAGCAGTTAATCGATTAGTGAGTTATCTCAAAGGTAGGTAGTCCTAAAAGCACTTTGGCTAGGCTTCTGGATCACTGCCTATCTCTTGCACCTCAGGCCTTCGCATCAAGAAAGAATATTATCAGGTGGAGGGGCCTGAACCATGAACCTAACAAACCTGCTGTCTTTGTAAGCTGCCCAGCTTTTGTTGTTGCTATTAGCAACAGAAAAGGGACAAGGACGTGAACTTACAGTGAAGTTAGTGTCATTAACGTTGTGGGAAGGAAATACGCACGGTGAAGGAGGGACACCCCATCAAGGAGGAGTGAGGGGGCGGCTTACCGGGATTGGGGCTTTTGAGGACTGAGGCAGGCTGGAACTCCGGGAGCGGAGACAGCTCCTAATGAAGTGTCTGTCATAGGAACAAGGACAGTGTCATAGTCACATTTCCCAGGGGCCTCAGTTCAGGAGGCAGGGGCACAGTGTGCGGCTGGCTAGAAGGCCATACTTTAAAGGGAAAGAGGTCTTTGCTGCAGTCCCTTAGGAACACTGTTCTGTTCTGTTCTGTTCTGTTCTGTTCTGTTCTGTTCTGTTCTGTTCTGTTCGAAAGGTCAAGTCCAGGAGGTCAAGGTGATGGGGCAGATGCAGGCATTTGCCACCAAACATGACCTGAATCCAGTTTCTGGAACCTATATGATAGAAGGAGAGAATCCTTGTGGGGTATATCCAACCAAGGAAGACTGCTCGGACCTCGGTTTAAGCCAAGAGAAAGTCTGCTAAGCCAGAGGTGGTAGTACACACGCCTTTAATCCCAGCACTGGAAAGGCAGCGCTCTGAGTTCGAGCCCAGCCTCTTCTACAGAGCAAGTTCCGGGACAGCCAGCGCTACCCAGAGAAAGCCTGTCTCAACTTCACCCCACCAAAAAAGATTGGCGTTTAAAACATCATAGCCAGTGACCAGTGACGTCACTCTTGCCTCTGACCTTTCCAGTCTAAAACCACAGGCAAAGGCTAGAGAGACAGCTCAGCCAGTAAAAGCACTTCCTTCTCCTTGAGAGGAAGAGCTCAATCCCAGCACCCATGTTGGAAGTCACAACTCCAGCTCCAGGGGACCCAAACCTCCTCTGACCTCCACCAACACCTGCACCCATCTGGTACACACACACACCCCTCCTTCCCTTCCACACAGAGTAAATAAAAATAAAACTACATCTTTAAAATGAAAACCACACAAGCTGGGAGCACTGGCTCACACTTACAATCCCAGCACAGGCCAGCCCGGTCTACAAAGTGAGTCCAGCACAGCCAGGGCTACATAGAGAAACCCTGTCCCCCCAAAAGCCAAAGCCAAACCAAAACAAAACAAACAAAACCATACCCACAATTAATGGCCACCAGACTGTTCACAGCTTCAGAAGTTTGAGCTGTTTGACGGTACTGCTGTGAACTCTGTCTTCAGCCTCTACAGCAGTAAGGCTCTCAGCAAGGGTTGGTGAACCAGTTCCATATTGGCACAATGACAACATGCGGCCAAGCAAGGCCTTGAGCAAGTCACCAGCACTAGGACCCTCTCCTGAGGTTACAGAGGATTTGAACCATCGGCTAGGGAGGACGGCCAGTCTTCTGTGGTTCTGATATCAAATCACAAAATGAGACCACTTGATTCACAATCCTAACAAAGCTTGAGGTATGGTAGGTCAGGTGCCTCGAGTGATGAGCCTAGGTTTTGTTGTTGTTGTTTTGTTTTGTTCTGTTGGTTTTTCAAGACATGGTTCTGGGTAGCCTTGGATGTCCTGGAATTCATTCTGTAGACCAGGCTGGCCTTAAACTCACAGAGATCCGCCTACCTCTTACTCCTGAGTGCTGGGGTTAAAGGTGTGCACTACCACCACCTGGCTCCTACAGCGTTCTCTCTCTCTCTCTCTCTCTCTCTCTCTCTCTCTCTCCAGACAGAGAATTTCTTTGTGTAGCCCTGGCTGTCCTGTCCTGGACTTGCTCTGTAGACCAGGCTGGCCAGGCACTCACAGCGATCCACCTGCCTCTTCCTCCCTGAGCGCTGAGATTAAAAGAGTGCGTCACCATGCCCAGCTCCCTATTGCTTTCTTTATCTAACAAGCTTTACTGCCAGGATTTCACTCCTGGACTTTGCATTGTTTTCCAGGTCCAAGCTTTGAGCTGCCTTGGGAAAGAGCCAAGCTAGCTATGGTGTCGTCAAACTTACTGCACTCCAGGCTCCGCTGTGGGCGGTCTGCTTCCAAGAGGCAATGAGGACACCTGCAGCTTACACCCGAGGAAACAAAGCAGATTTCAACGCCCTCCTTAAACCGCCTGGCAAGACTTTTCTTTTCTTTTTCTTTCTTTTTTTTTTTTTGTAAGACAGGTTTTGCCAGCTCAAGGACTTTCTGACTAGAGTGGCCAGGTTGCTTATTTTTTGCTTTCAAATGCAGAACGGGGATCCTGAGAGTCACATAAAACGCATATCTTTTATGAGCAGTTAGTTTGTTTGCGTTTTCTAGTCTATATGCACTTCTTAGAGGAAAAAAGTGGACTGAGACAGATAAGCAAGATATATCCAAACTACCATAGGCTACGGTCAATGTCACCCCTAACATTTTCATGTTTTCTCGGGCTCTCTTCTATGCTAATATTCTCTTATCAAAGCCAAAATTAGAATCACCTGATGACAATATTGTGCCACCCAACTCAGTCACGTACATTTTGTCGGGATGCCTTAAAAGGCCCAGAATGTTTATGAATACAGTTGGTTAGCATCACTGAAGCCTTGCTTACTTTTTGTCAGGAGCGTTTAAACGCCGGAATCACAACCTAGAAGCTTAGCGTGGTGGTTCACGCCTGTAATCCTGGCACTCTAGAGGCTGAGGCCGAATCAAGGCTATTCTGGACTACAGAGTAAAACCCGGTCACTATTAGGTTTCAAAAAAATCCTGGGACGAGTCTCGCACGATACCTGTGGCTCCTCTCAGCAGCCCTCACCCCGCCCCCTATTCTAAACGTCTCCCTCCCAGGGGCGGGGCTTCTGCTTCTCTTCCCCAGCCTGAACCCTGAAGAGCTCAGCCGTTTTGGCTACACTGCTCTCTTAGCCCGGCCACCTCTCCTGTTGGCGGCTCCTCTCTTGCTCTCCCTCCACCTCCCTCTTTCTTCTCATGGTCGGGTTTAGTCTGCCGGCCTTGTTCAGCTTGCTTTCTCCCTTATAGCTACAATAAAAATTTTCTCCATGCTTTAATCATGTCCTCCTCCTTTTATTTAATTCAGTAACAACGCCACACACATCCAAAAGGCATTGTTCCCTCTAAAAGAACTCTGTAGAATCAGTAAGGTGGAAGTTTCCTCTCCCGCCTGTCGTCACACAGACGGGCTCCAGAGGCTGGGCTACAGATTTGATTTACACTGCTATAGTGCAGGTTTTTGCTTTAATCTGGTCATTCCTAAACCCTGGTTCTTTCCTTTTGGAATAAGAAAGTATGTAACTTGTTTTTGATGTTCATAGGAGCTTAGAGTTGGAAGACATTGGACTTCTAAAGTGTTGAAATGTTCATTTTTGAGACAAGTTCTCACTGTGTATCTCGAGCTTTCCTAGAACTCATTATGTAGACTAAGTTGGCCTCAGACTCAGAGATTCACCTACCTCTGCCTTAAGAGTACTAGGATTGGTGCTGAAGAGATGGCTCAGTGGTTAAGAACACTACTTGCTCTTCCAGAAGTCTTGAGTTCAATACCTAGCAACCACATGGTGGCTCACAACCATCTATAGTGAGATCTGGTGAAAAGTCCTGGGATTAAAAGCAATGTGCCAGCCCTAAAGTGTTGAAATGTTTAAAGACTGTGGGGCTTTCAAAGTTATATTTTATATTATGATATTCACATGAGATCTTGAAATAAGAAAAAAAGGTTATAGCTTATAGTGCTACCCTAATGACAGGGGGTGGAGAAATGTCAGTCATAGTCCTCCAGCTGACAATTTGACCCACCTGAAAAGAGGAAAACTCAAAGGAGAAATTGCCTCTATCAGATTGGCCTGAGGGAATGTATGTGAGGCATTTTCTTGACGCAGAACCGCCCGTCCATCAGGCTGTGGGTGGTACTATACCTAACTGGGTGAGGTTAGACTGTAAGAAAGACAGCTGGCCAGGAACTCGGGAGCAAGCAGGTGAGAACATTCCTTCCATGGTTTCTGTTTCAAGCTCCTACCTTGGGTCTGTGCCTTGGCTTCCCTCTTTGAAGGACTGTTGCTTGAAAGTATAAGATGAAACATACCTCTTTGCTCTTCCTTTACGAGGTCTGAAGTGACCTGTTAAGATGGCTTGCTACTCTCTTGACCCAGAAAACCCTACGAAATCATGCAGATCAGGATGTTCACACCTTCACGTTCACTTTAAGAACACCCGTGAAACTCTCCAGGTCATCAAAGGTCCGCATATCTGGAAAGCCACCAAGTGTCTGAAAGACATGAAATTAAAGAAGCAATGTGTACCATTTCAGCAGTATGATGGTAGAGTTGTTGGGTGAGCCAGTCTAACCCATACATGACTTCTCCTGCCACTGGGATGGCATCACTGATAAGGCCCTCTTATCTCTGGTCAGTCCCTGGGAGTGGAGCGCACTAGCCTCTCTGTCCCCAATTAGTTGACTATTCTCTTTTTAGAGAGCCTGTACAGAGCTCAACCATGTTCCTGCACTTACAAAAGTCCTTTCCAGATTCTCACAACAGCTTCACTGTGTTGTTCCACTGTCCCTGTTGTTGAGACCTCCTGTGTGCTCTAATGTTTCTAAAGCTGTTCTACTGTCCCAGAGACCCTGTCACATTGTCCATACTCATCTATTTGTTGACAGTGCCTCCCTGAAGGCATCATCTTTCTTAAATAAATTTGGAGGATAGGAAGGTCAACTTCTGATAATACAGATGGCAGAGAAGTGCTATCACAGGGAGAAGTAATCTTATACGTTTGTTCCAAAGAGGAGGATATTCCAGAAGAAGCTGAAGAAACAAAAACTTAGGGCAGGGGAATAAACTCAGCATGGAGTAAATGCAGATAAAAGGAAAGGAACACACACACACACACACACACACACACACACACACACACACAGACTTTCCCATTGCGGGGCTTTCTCGAATCCCTCTTGTGCTTTTAATAAGACATGGAGACTTCTATATAGTTTAAAGCTGTAGGCCTTGTGCTGGTGTGGACTCTCAACTAGCTTCTAACTTAACTGGACTTCCCAGCCTATATCCCAGCCCCGTGGCTAACTCCTGTCCCCATCCGTTCTGTTCTCTTCCTGGTCTCCTGTGATCCTCCCGCCTCAGCTTCCATAATCCCTGCATCTCCACCTGCCCAGGTACTTCCTCATGCACTTCCTGCCCCCCACCTATTGGCTGCCAGCTCTTTATTATAACCAATCAGCAGCAAGACATCACTTGGGTTGCCCTAAGGCATTGAAGGATGCATGACCTTCCTCTTTTGGGCAGGTGTGGAAGGACAAGCACTTACAAATAGAAAACCCAGTGATGGGCCATAGAAATGACAATGCCAAAATCCTGCCAGCATTTAGCACTCTTCCGGTGCAGTAAGCAACAACTGAAAATACAGGAGCACACCTTCATTAATGTGAGTGAAGGTTGCGCCAACATTTTTCTCCCCAGGTTGCCTTTGGTCAGGTTGTTTATCACAGTAGCAGAAAGCAAACAAGGACGCATGCTAATTTTAAAAACAGATTATTTCAATGAAAGAAAACGAGCCCGCAAAATAATCAGAAGAGAGGAGTTAGCTATTCTGCCTGGGCCCCTGCTCACTTCTTCCAGGACCATCTTGGCCCTTAGGTGCCTGAGTCCAGCGATGACGGTACTGAAAACTTGGATAGTTGAGGAAGAAGCTGAAAAGCTGGTGTTTTCCTTTTTAGTTTCACTGGGGAGATGTAAATGAGGTCCATCCTCAATGACCTTTAAGCATGATAACCTCCCAGAAAATAGGCAGGGAAACTATATCTCAAATGGAGGTAGGGGAGCAAAACAGTGAAGACATCCCTGGATCATATGAAAGCTATTAGCCATCATGATCTGTGCCTGTGTATTTTGCTTTCTGTATCTGTCACAACATTTAAATGTGATGTAGTAGAAGTATTACAGCTAAGTTGACATAATCAAGGATACAACATGGATAAACTCATGTCAGTAAAAGAGGAAAATGGATATTTTAGCCAAACATTTTTTTTTTCTTTCTTGAGGCTGGGTTTCATTAGGTAGCCCTAGGTAGGCTGGACCTCTCTGTGTAGACCAGGCTGGCCTCAAACTCAGAGACCTGCCAGCTTCTGCCTCTCAAGTGCTGGTATTAAAAGTGTCAGCACTATACCCAGCTCTAAGAGCCATATTTTAAAACTAGATTGATTCTATATGCTCCCCTCAAAAACTCTAGTTATAATTTGTATTCTATGAAATATTTTATAAAGTATTTGAATACTTTTTCCTGCTGTTGAGAGCACAAATTATTGCAGCCATTACAGAAATCTGTTTCAAGGTTCCTGAAAAAATTAAAAATAGAACTATCATATGACCTGGCTTACTCCATACCTAAGACTATGTCTAGAGAACTCCATATTCTATCATAGAGATATTTGCACATTCATGTTATGTTTATTGCTGCTCTTTTTACTACAGCAAGAAAATTGAACCACTCTAAATGTCAGCCAACAGGTGAATGGATAATAAAAAATGCTACCTAAACAAAATGAGAATATTATTCAGCTGTAAAGAAAAAAATAAAGAAAGAAAGAAAGGAAGGAAGAGAGAGAGAGAAAGAAAAGAAAGAAAGAAAGAAAGAAAGAAAGAAAGAAAGAAAGAAAGAAAGAAAGAAAGAGAAAAAAATTAGTCAGATGGTGGTGGTGCATGCTTTCAATCCCAGCACTTGGTAGGTAGAGACAGGAGAATCTCTGTGAGTTCGAGGCCAGCCTGGTCTACAGAGTGAGTCCAGGACAGCCAAGTTTACACACAGAGAGAAACCCTGTCTCAAACAACAACAACAAGAAAAAAGAGAAAAACAAAATCTTAGATGGGAGAGATGGCCCCAAGGTTAAGAGTATCTACTGCTCTTCCAGAGGACCTGAGTTCAGTTCCCAGCACCCACATCAGGCAGCTCACAACTACCTCTAAGTCCAGCTGCAGGAGAGAAAAATATTCTCTTCTGGCCTCCTCAGGCACTACACTCACATGCACAAACCCACACAGAGGTACACATGAAGACACATAATTAAAAAGAAAAGTAGAAAATAAAGAAAAATAAAATCTGGAAAAAAAAATACCACTAAAGGACTTGGAATGTATTAGAGTAAGTGAAATCACCTAGACTTTCAGAAAGGAAAGAAAGAAAGGTAAAGAATGCCAGCAGACAGAGGACACACGAGCCGAGAAAGACCTTGTTTGCCTGGTTTCCACTCTGTCATTGTTTTTGCTTGTTTGGTTTTTTTGTTTTTGTGTGTGTGGTGAATAAATCTGAAAAAACAAAACAAAACAAAAAACCTGGGACAGGATGTGGTGACACACACATTTGATCCAGCACTCGGGAGGTAGAGAGAGGCAGGCTTGAAAAAGAAAATAAGTCTTTGTGAAAATGTAACGGCTATTGAAAGTGTAAAATCCCACCCAATGCTCCCTGGCTTCAGAAGGGCATCCCACACTGTAGAGAAGTTCACTGAGATGTACTCAGTTTGAGACTTGGCAAGGGTTTGTTGGAGTGGCTACCTTAATCTAGCTGTGTGATATTTTTTAAATGTGTGAATTCATTACAATAAAGTGATTTTTCGAAACTTCTTGGACCAGAAGTTCAAGCTCATCCTCAGCAAGTTCAAGGCCAACCTGGGATACATAAGATCCTGCGTCAAAAACAAAACAAAACCTTCTCTTTTAATTTTACCTTTTCATAGCTATAACCTCCTGTAGAGTGGCTAGTTCTAATTCTAGGAAAGATAAACTTTTAGTATCTGAATTGCTAGAACCTATCTGTACATATTAATTTGATCTGTTATATTATCTTGATATTATACCAGATTCCAGTTTAAGAAAGCAAATTAAAAGTTGCATTACAGAAATAGAGAATAATACACTATTACTTTGGTTTTTCAAGGCAGGGTTTCTCTGTGTACCCCTGGGTGTCCTGGAACTCCCCCTGTAGACCAGGCTGATCTCGAACTCAGAGATCTGCCTGTATCTGCCTCCTGAGTGCTGAGATCAAA